TTGACATAGTTGTATGTGAGGAATGAATATTGGGTTTGGGTAATAGCTGGGGAGGGCAAGGACACAGGAAACAGCTGTGTGTCTGGCTGTTAGGAGTATTTTATGACACATACTGTTTCAAAATTGATTCACCAGTATCCATCTGATGCAATAACCCCACTTCTAGAAATAGACAGTTTTGGTCAATAACCTAATTTAGGGTTAGACACCCTAACTTGGAAAGGTCTTTAGAAAAAGCTAAGGGGTGTGTGTGTGCTAACTTCATGGTTCATATAAATAAAACATCAAAGATATATAGCTGTAGGTAGGGCTGGATCCAGGACACTACCAATTTTACCAGGACCATGTTCACTTTCCTAGGGGGCCCTGTGTGGACAAGGCATCTGCCTGCAGCTGCAGATTCCTCTCCCAGGGTCAGGTTCAGTGCCACTGAGGTCCTGCCTCTTCCTGGCTGCTGGATGTGGGCTCTGTGGGCCTGTGGGTCCTACCAGGGCAGGCTCTTTCCTACTGCTCCAAGTGCCAAGATGCTGCCTTCTCCCACCAGCTCCCAGGTGACTAGGATGCTGCTGGTCCTTGGGCTGCACTGTGAGTAGGGGGCTTCCCCTGCCTCCACAGAGCCTGCGACACAGGCCAGCTCAGGTTCAAATGTCTTCCTAACCCCAGAATAGCACGGCTTCTCAGATGAACCAGAGATGGGATGTAACACCCTTCTGAGAAATCAGCACTCCCTGTTAGGGGAGCTCCTCCTGCGTGTTTTCCTCTGCTACGTTCAAAGGTGCTATACAAGGAAGCGAGGTTCATCACAGATGTTTGTCATTTAGCAGCAGGTCATCTCCTCAGAAATATTCTTTAGCTTTAGGGGTGGTGGCTCTCAGACTTTGGGGGGCATTAGAAATGCCTGGGGAACTGAGTAAAAACAGTGCAATCCAGGGTCTAGCTTCTGTTTTAGCTCCATCCCTGGACTTTAACTCAACTGTTAAGTAAGCCTTGTGCTTCAGTATTTGAACAAGAAATTCTCCAAGCCAACCAACCACTGCCATGGAGTTAATTCTGACTCACAGCGCCACTAGAGGACTGAGTGGAACCGCCTCACAGGGTCTCCAAGGCTGTCAATCTTCACAGCAGCAAAGCCCCAACAAACCCACTGTTGCGGAGTCGATCCCGACTCACAGCGTCCCTAGAGGACAGAGGAAAACTGCCCCACAGGGTCTCCAAGGCTGTCAATCTTCACAGAAGCAAAGCCCAAACCACACTCATTGCTGTGGAGTCTTTGTCCCTCAGAGCAAGTGGTGGATTTGAGCCAATGACCCTTCTGTTAGCAGCCAAGTGCTTACCCACTGTGCCAGCAGGGCGATTTTCATGGTGCAGAGGTGTTCTGACCTAGATAGACCCTCTACAGTGTGGCACGTACAGGTGGGCTGGAGAGCGCGGAGAGCGCTGTAGAGTTACCTGTGGCAGCGGGACTCAGACCCTTCATTTGTTAGTGGACGTGCTTGCAGCAGGCAGAACGCCAACAAAAGGCACCGTGAGCTCTCCCTGTGCTGCAGCCAACTGAGCTTCAGGACCTACGGAGAGGAGACTCAAAGTTCTAGAGATTTTAATTGTTCGGTTCTGAGCAAGTGTTTAGTATAATTAACTGTGAGAGATGACACAGCATATCCCAAGGGGTTGGGAAGAGAGGGTGTCACATGGGGGGGGATATGCGTGGGTGTCCCACGGTGGGGGAGATGTGGTATGAGGCATCCCATGGGTGGGGAGACGCAGCTTGGGGCATCCTGTGGTGGGGTAGATGCGACATGGGGTGTCCGATGGTGGTGGTGGGGGGAGACGGCTCTGGATGTCCCACAGGAGGACAAGGATACTTCGGGACGAACAAGGATGCTGGGGTCCTTGCTGACAATGAGCAGTGGTGGCTACAGTGAGTGAGGACCATGCTCTGCATGGACGCCACTGGACAGGGACAGAGTGACAGACAGACCCATGATGCTGACACAGGGGTCCCTTCTGAGCACCGCCCTTTCCAGTTTCTCAAGGTGAAGAGAAGACGGAGTTAAACGGTTTGACACAGTTTGTCTAAATTGACTCAGAATGTTGGTTTCATTTAGAAAATTTGGAAAGTAAAATTGACCTAACTTCATTTTTCCAAAACCCCCAAACTGAAAGGCTAGGTAAGCTTGGTGACATCCCACCTCACGACGTTGGAAGGACTAGGGACAGTGTCACTCTCAGCCTGGACAATGGCACATCTTTCAGAAGCCATCATCAGTTCTGACACCATGTTTCCCAGTGTGTTGTCGCATCTAAGACTGCCTGACAAAAACAAAACGTCCACAGCAGCAACACCCAACTTTACCTTTAAATAAAAATAGTTTATTCATTCCTGACAAGTTATCAAAATGTATACTGTTAACCAAGTCAACACAGAACTTCCCAACAGTCAACTAGGGGTATCTGGAGGGTGTTTGTTAACTACTTCCAATCTCCCTCTCCTCACATCCCCGACGAGCTTGCACTCTACCGGCTTTTACTGAGCGCAGACCACCAGCTGGGCTCCAGCTCGAGACAGGATGTGCAGTCTCCATTTATACGGGACATAAATGAAGCGATTACATCTGGGGCATTTCCATTACATTTGCCAAAGCCTTTCACACTCACTGGTCTTTGTATTTTGTATAACTTTGTAGATGACAGAAGCAGGAAACACATGGCTTGACTAAGAATAGGTCCATGTCCAGGGTAAGGTGCAACGTGGCAGACCACGTCTGCCAACACTCAGCTTGTCAAACCCCACGGGCTCTAGGAGGAAGCGGACAGCACCCCCTTCTCCAGCATGGACACTCCTCCGACACAGGAAGCCGCTGCCACACGGCCGTTTATTCTGGACGGCGCGCCCTGCTTGGTGTCCCCTGTGGTTCTGTCTTCCCTTCTCAGTGGAAGCTCTGAAGTTCATCCTAAGCCTTGACAAAAATCAGCTCCTCCAGCAACTGAAAGAGGCTTCAAAGTGCCCTGGTGCCATGACCGGAGGCCTCCTTGCTGCTGTGAAAGGGGGTTCCCCAGAAGGCGTCTCTGCTGCTGCGACGGGAAACGCTGGTGTTTACACACAGCAAGGCTTCCTCTCTCAGCAGCAGATGCCTGGGAACCTCTGACACCAGCTGCCACCCATGGCTACGGCAAGGCCCAAACTAGTCCTACAGTGTCAGGTGACTCGGTGCATGTGGTTCTATTAAATTACTGAACTAACAGATGCTCTTGTTCCTGAGATGAGATGAGGGAAGTGAACGTGGGCCCACCCTGGCTGCCCGTGGGAGCTCAGCTCCTCACCCGTGGCCTTCTCCACAGCCCCGGGACAGGTCAGTCTTCCCCATGGCGCCACTTCTGGGCCTCGTCCTGCCGTACGTCTGGTCTGATCTGGTTCCTCATGCCACCTAACACGTTGGACGTTGCTTCTGTGGCAACAATCAGTGGCCTCACCACGGCTGGGGGGATCTGGCGTAAGACCTCGCCCACGGCGCCAGTCACCCCTCTGCTCTCATGTTCTCGGGCGGCCGTCTCGTAAAGGGTTTGCGCCGTGTCTGTGATACCCTGCACGGAGGGTCAGGAGACAAGGGGAAGAAGTGACTGGTCAGCAGACACAAAAGCCACCCCCAGTGCACTGTCCACACAGCTAATCACTGTTAGGTGTGCAGCTAGGCAGATGAACTGTGTTTTGGAGATAACTGTTACAACGTTCTAATCATAATGGAAAATCAGAGGTTGTGACTGTGATTTGGTATTTTGCTGTGACCCTGGCATTGTGGAAAACGGAGCGAAACTCCAATTTCCCATCAAGATGCTTACAGAAACAGCTCTGAACTAAGAGCAGCTGTTTGGCACTACTGATCCTCCTAGCTACAGTGCCCTCGGCAGGCAGAGCTTTCTGAAGAGACGCTCACTGCAGAAAAGGGCTAAGAGCACTTCCAAGTCAAGAGTAACAAGGAAACCCCAACCTGCTAAAGCTATGAAGCTTTGTAATCTTCTGGACATGAAAGGCCATGTAGCAGACGATGTGTGTGCGACAGCCATTAAGACAAAAGCCTCGACAGCAAACTCCACTGGATTGAGAGAAAGTCTAGAACGTGAGGCTGGACCATGTCACCTAACCGTTAGAAAGCAAGCTTCTGGGGCCTCCCGTCGTTCACGCTGCCTGACAACAGTGAGACAAGCTAGCGCCCGGGTCTTGTTTGTGGGGACAGAACGCTTGCACATCTCCACGCCAAGCAGGAAACTCTTCCTATGAGCCTGTCCTCACAGCTGAGCCCCCTCCTCTCACTTCGGGCAGGTACTGACACACCCTCAGTTTCTCCGGGACAGCCTCCCCCCATTAAATGTTCTCCAGGTGGTAGCTGGCTGCACGTGCACGGATCTGACTGGATCTGTCCAGGTGACAGCCAGGAGGCACATGCATAAGGTTGATTTGATTTCTCCAGGTGACAGTTGGGGCGGCACGCACACGGGGTCTGACTGGACCTGTCCAGGTAACAGCCGGGAGGCACGTCTATAGGGTAGGTTTGATTTCTCTAGGTGACAGCTGGGAGGAACATGTATAGGGTTGACTTGATCTCTCCAGGTGACAGTCGGGTGGCATGCCCACGGGGTCTGACTCTACTTCTGTACCCACTCACCTCCTTTACGACACTGTAGGCCTTGGCCACACCCTCCCTCAGGTCCACTGGCTGGTGGGCTAGCCGGTGATGAGGAAACCTTTTGAGCTTCTTGGGCTCAATAGAAAGGGTTCCAGGAGACACCATGTCATAAGCCGTCTCTGCTGCAGCCTGAAGCATTGGCAGAAAGTGAGAGATGGGTTAGAGACTCCACAGGGTGTGCCTCCCCTGGGACTGTCCAAGCGGAGCAAGGAAGGACAGAAGGGCTTGCACATCCGTCCACGGGGGATGAGGAAGGATGGGGGGGTTGCACATCTGTCCACAAGGGGTGAGGAAGGACAGGGCGCTTGCACGTCTGTCCATGGGGGGTGAGGAAGGACGGGGGCTTGCATGTCTGTCTACAGGGGGCGAGGAAGGACGGAGGGCTTGCACGTCTGTCCACAAGGGGTGAGGAAGGACAGAGGGGCTTGCACGTTTGTCCACGGGGGGTGAAGAAGGACGGGAGGGCTTGCACGTCTGTCCATGGGAGGCGAGGAAGGACAGAGGGGCTTGCACGTCTGTCTACGGGGGGTGAGGAAGGACAGAGGGGCTTGCACGTCTGTCCACGGGAGGTGAGGAAGGACAGAGGGGCTTGCACGTCTGTCCACAGGGGGCAAGGAAGGACGGGGGGGCTTGCACGTCTGTCCACAGGGGGCGAGGAAGGACGGGGAGTGAGGAAGGATGGGGGACTTGCACATCTGTCCATGGGGGGCAAGGAAGGACAGGGGGTCCTCAGGTCCTTGCAGGTCCTGAGATAGACACTCAGGTGGTGTGTAGAGTCCCTCCAAGAACTCACAACATTCTGTAACAGGGCAGTAAAGTACAGGGACAGGGACAGTGTGAGCTGGTCCCCGGAGGGCTCTCATAGCACCTCGTCAGTCAAGAGCACAGCGCGTGGACCCCTGATCAGGTTGGCAGGGCTGCGCACTCTGCAGGACAGACCTTCCTCTGGCTACGTCTGATCTGTGGCCCTGTCTTGAGTTGAGCGAAGTCTTTCCGTGCTACTGGGAAGGAAGAACACCGTCACGGTGACAGCTGTAACTTCCCTGGAGCAGCAAAGAGACAGTGCTACCGTCTTCCACTGACACAGCTGCTAACTAACCAACCTTGGGCATCTGAGCAATGCAACCAGCATAACATTGCAACCCAGCTACTGAGTCCACTCTGACTCACGGTAGCCCCGGGCGTCAGAGCACAGCTGTGCTCCACAGGGTCCTGATGGCTCGTCTCTGGGAAGCAGATGATGGAGCCTTTCCTCCCAGGCCCCTCTGGGTGGATGTGAGCCTCCAAGCTCTGGGTTAGCAGTTGAGCACTTAACTGTTTGCATCACTGGGAGTCCGAACACGGGATCAAGTCACCAAGAAACACGTCTATTCCCCAGGGTCAGCCCTTCCCACAGCATCGGTTTGAACACACTTTACATCTGCTTGTCTGAGTGGATGGTGGTGGTTGGGGGGAATACCTGTATGGTCTGAACCATCCTATTGGTGAGCTCCAAGGCGGCCATTGCTGTGGACGTGCCAAAGGAAGCAGCTCCTCTCCGAAAGCCCCTGATGACGCGGCCGTCCTTCCGGTACTGCTCGATGGGCAGCCAGACCAGGTCTTTCAGGCCTTGCACTGGGATCGGAGTTGACGGAGGTCAGTCAGTGCCAACAGAACCGTCCCAGTCCCCATGCCAACCTTGGGCAGGGCTTTGTGTGAACGCATGCATGGTAGGGTTTCTGGAAGGGCAGTCCTCAGCTCTCAAGGGCATCCATGAGCCAAGAGGTTTAAAAATTACTGATCACATAAAACAATCATCTTCTGATTAAAAACACAAAGCTCACCCAATTGGACCAGGGAGTGCATGGGTCCAACACCTCCCAGGATGCCTGGTAGCTGGTTCTTCTTAATGTCATTTAGCCATTCGGTGAGTGCATATGAGAATAACTTGTCCACACCTAGCAAACTGGAGGCAATGACTCAGTATATATAGAGGAAGACATCGACAACATCAGCCAGTACAGGTTTTACTTCTGACACAACAGAGAACATACAGCTAAACCACTCTAGAATCAGACAGAAACGCCAGGCGGTCCTGTAACTCCCAACTGAACTCTCTCTCACAGGTGTGGGCTCCAGCTGCAGTGGTGATCCCTCCAGGAGGCTGAAGTGGAATGTACAAGTGGGTTTCTACATGGCTCTTACCTCCTGAACATTTAAGGATCTGGTGAAGTATTTACTCACAGTACACACACTGCTACACAGCTCTGAGTGACTAAGCGGTGACTTTACTGCTACCTGGTAAACCTCCAGACTTTTCACTAAAGAAACTGCAACTTTGAGCAATTATGAAAAACACTGCACACTACAGCTGTCTCTGAAAAGATGCCCCTCTGTTCAAACCTCTTCTCCTCCCTTAGAATGAGCCCCTGCCCTGTCTGGACCTGCCAATGGAGCCCTCACAGACAGTCCTGGGCACCAGGCCAGCTGGAAACACCCGAGTTCTCATTGGCAGTAACTGACTTTAGTCCCTGGTCGGAAAGCGTCATGGATCGACCAACGCACCCGTGCCGGTAGAAGAGCCTCTTCAACTTCAGCTCGGAGCAGTTCAACTGGGCCAGACCGATGAGAATGCCCGCGAAGGTACCCTGTCAAGTACAAGCGGCCAGGCTAAGCCGAACATTCCAGACGCCATGTCCAACACAGGCGCTGCTGGGGGGCCAGAGCAAGACGTACTGGGAAGCTAAGACACGTAAACGGTTTACAGAAAAAGCCACAGCTCACAATACGGGGACCCTTTCATACACGGATTCTACTCGTGGTAAGGAGCTCTGTGGCACAGTGCCTACGGCATCTGAGTGCTGACCAGAAGGTTGGCGGTTCAAATCCACCAGCCACTTCTCAGAAGGAAGACTGGCAATCTACTTCCTTAAACATTTACTGCCTTGGAAACCCAATGGGGGTTGCTATGAGTCAGAATCGACTTGATGGCAGTGGGTTTTTTGACACTCATGGTACTGAGGTACATGATATTTAACTTACTTTGAAAACATTTCAATTTAATATCTTTATACGTCATTTCAAATATTTACATAAATTGGGACAGAGGAGGGTTTTAAACAATTGGGACTAATAGAAAAGACAAAGGAGACCGTTAACTTTGTAGAGTAGGTTTGTGCTAAGTTTCCAAACCTGATCCATGGAAACGTGCTTGCCGTGGTAGTCAAGGCGAATTGGAACTTCCGACGTGAATCTAAATTCTCTGAAGGGAAAGAAAGGTGGCAAATTACTTATATTCAAAACTACTCAGAGGAGAAACTAGATGCACATTAATTTATCCAAGTAGAGAATACAAAAAAAAACCCCAATGCTGCCGACTACTCCTGGCCTAAAAAGGAAGCAAGCCTGTAGCCCCGCCTTTTCCTAAGGGGCTATAACGCTAAGTGGATGCTCTCACTGCCTCACAGCTGGTGCCTGCCTTTATCACCTCACCACCTCATAGCCGACGTCCACCTCCATTACCTCATAACCAGCGTCTATTTCCATCACCTCACAACCAGCATCTATCTCCATCACCTCACAGC